TTGTTTTTCTTCACATTCAAATAAGCAATCCGGGTAAAGAAAACGGGACTAAATTTCCAAATGTAAATTAGTCCGCTACCTCACCTGCGTGCCCTCCTACTAGACCGTAGTCGACGTAATATGGATATGCATACGTAATACGGGGGATACGCATAAGTCTATAAAAAAATGCGTAGCCAAACGGTCGGGAAAAAAGGTGAGGGCCACTGCGAATGATATGTGCAGGAGGTACAGTCGAATACGCTTGAGTGTTTGCTATAGTGGAGGTTGATATTGCAGTTGGATGCTGTAGACACGTAGGGAGAGGAAGTATGCGGGACGGAGAGTTAGAGGGCGACGGAGGGGAAGGATAAGTGTGTGGGTAAGGTGAATGAGCAAGGGGAGTAAAGATGAAGTGAAAGGAATTAGGGGGCCAGCACATTTTGGTCCTTGTGATAGTCCCAGCGGCTCCTCTGTAACAGTAGCCTTGGCCCGATCGACACTGACCACGTCCTCCTTGTCACAGCGAAGAACCCGGCAGGTCTTGGCGTTGTGTGCGAGCACGCGGAAGGCCTTTCGTGTGGTGATTCCAGCGACTGGCGCACACGGTCACACCGGACGAACACATGAGTACAGTTGTCCAAGTCTTTTTCGACGTAAGAATCAGTCGTTAGAGTTCGAGGTGGAACTGGGACAAGCGAGCGCATCAATTGCCGCAAACGGTGCACAAAATTGTCAGGGGTCTCGTCGACCCCTCGAGAGATTGGTGTGACCATCTCACTTGGCAGTCGGAGGATAGTGCTGAAAACCAATTCAGCTGCACTTCAGTCCAGATTCGACTTCAGAGCTGGGCGAATGCCGGGGAGTACAAGAGGAAATTTGTCCAACCAATTTCCTAGGTCTTCTACGGCACACAGAGTGATCTTTAACTGGCGATGGAAACGCTCAACCATACCGTGGGCAGCTGGGTGGTAGGCCGTCGTCCGAATTCGTGTGCAGCCAAAGAAGCTGAGTAACGTTTGGAAGAGTGCAGACTCAAACTGGGCACCACCATCAGTCGTAACCGTGGATGGAGCACCGAACATGATGACTCAACGACTGACGAAGGCCTTCACGATGATTTCAGCCTGCACATTCGGAAAAGGAATAGCTTCAGCCCAACGGGTATACCGATCGACACAGGTAAGGGGGTGGGTGAAAACATTGGATGGAGGCAAGGTGCCTACAACATCCAGGTGCACATGGCTGGACCGTGCGTCGGGACTGGGGAAAGTGTCTGGTGGGGACTTATCGTGACGTTGCACCATGTTGCGTTGACAATGCAGACACGATCGGGTCCAGGTTTTGACGTCTTTGTTCATGCCAGGTCAGACAAACCTTTCCGTGAGGAGCTTTTGAGAAGCTCGGATGCCAGGATGGGAGAGTTCATGTGGAGTTTGAAATACACCTCGACGGGTCGAGGTGAGCACGAAAAGGCGATGAAAGTGAGTTGAGACGTCACTAAGTATGGTAACAGAGCCGGTGGTTAGAGGAACGTCTTTGAGTTGGAGACAACTAACAGACTCGTCAGCAGGACAACTGACTCGCTGTTGCTCAGCCGCCATGACGAAAAGATCGATTCTGTGTAAGAGTTGAAGGGAAGACAGTGACGGTCTGGACAGCATACCAACCACCTCATTCTTCGTGCCATCGATGTGGTGGATGTCGGTTGTGAATTGGGAGATGTAGTCAAGATGGGCGGTTTCCACTTGAATTGTACTTGTCGGAGTGGGACCGAAGTGCAACGGTCAACGGTGTGTGTTCCGTGAAAACAGTGAAGTCCCGACCTCCAAGGAAATGCCGGAAATGCTTCCCAGCCAGGTAAATGGCAAGTAGTTCACGGCCAAAGGTACTGTGGTGTGTCTCAGCTGGTAAGAGCTTTTGGGAGAAAAAGTCAAGAAGTCGAGTCGAACCAGCAAGGTTTTGTTGAAGGACTGCACCTACGGCTACGGCCGAAGCATCTGCCATCAGGGACAGCTGAGCTTCGGGAACGGGATGCGTGAGTAAGGTGGCGTCGACAACGGAATTCTTGATTCTCTCAAGAGCAGTCAGTGCTTCACCAGTCAGCTCGAGGGGACCTTTGGGACCAGAAACCATGTTGGTGAACGACATCATGAGGTCAGCACAATTCGGTTGGAAACGACGTTAAAAATTGACCATGCCGAGGAATCGCTGTAACTGACGCTTGGAAGTTGGTAAAGGGAAACCACGAATTGTCTCAACCTTGGAGGGGAGGGGACGTAAACCTTCAAAGTCGACATGATGACGAAGGAACTCGAGTGAAGACACAACCAAAACGCACTTGGAGGAGTTGATGACAACGCCAAACTTGTCAAGGCGGTCAAACACCAAGGTAAGATGTTCTTTGTGTTCTTACTCATTCCGGCTAGCCATCAATAGGTCATCAGTGTAGGCGTACACAAAGGGTAGGCCACGTAAGACATGGTCGATGAACCTCTGGAACGACTGGGCGGCATAAGAAGACCGAACACGATGCGGATGAACTCGAAGTGGCCGAAGGGTGTGGTGACGGCGGTCTTAGGGTTGTCCTCAGGGGCGACCGGCATCTGATGAAAAGCTCGCACCAGATCAATCTCTGAGAAAACGGCTTTGCTGAAAGGGGTTCCAGCGAAGTCCTGAAGACGAGGCACGGTTTACCGATCAGGAATTTTGACGCGGTTGAGTGCACGATAGTCGCCACAGGGTCTCCGGTCACCTGATGTTGCCTTAGGCACCATTTGCAGTGGAGACGTCCAAGGGCTCTCGGATGGTCGAATTATTTCCAGTTGCAGCATGTGTTCAAACTCTGCCTACGCGGCCTGGAAACGCT